GCTCAGGCCCAAACCCGAGGGATATCAGACAATTAATATGTTAACGAACACAGAATACAAATTTGAATTAAAGAAATAAAAATTAAAAGTTGAAAGAATACTAGACAATAAAATCCTCAAATCTTAATAACAAGAAACCAACTCTCCAACACTCCAAGAGTACAACTAGGGAATCCATCCAGTGGACCCCTTATTAAAATCTCAAACTGAAACTGAAACAACTGAAATAAGTCTAATGCTAAACATAGCAAGTAGTCCTACGTAATCGGAGGAATGAGTATCTGTATCTGCTCTGCACGTCCAAGCTCTAATCCTGGAACTGACGAATACCTGAAAAATAAAGAGTGGGTCAGGCCCACATGCAAGTCCTGTCCAACTACGATCCAAACAGTAATCCGATACGCAGATACATCCTAGATAGCTCAACAATATCTAGAGTAGTCCATATATGTATATATAGTACACACTATAGGACGTTCGCTAGTTCAATAGGTCTGTCGCAGCCTGAATAGAAGGCAACATGCGAAAACGCACCAAAATGTGAGCATGAGTACCTAGACCTATCAGGGAACAACACATATTTCCAGTTATCCATCCTAGGCAATATACGCGCCCTAACCATGGTTCTGAGACTCATGCTCATACCATGGTACCATATAATAAATATATAAATTCCGTACTCCTAATACAAAATATTATCCATCTGTTTTGTGGTTTGATATATGTATAACAAATCCATTCTGAAACCAAGGTAGGTCATTCAATTCTCAATTAATATGACTCAAATATGAGATGTACTTAACCTTTATGGTTAGTCCATAACTCAATCCAAGTTAGGTAGAACATGGTGTTTGAACTAGTCCATACCTAATATGTCACCGTCCCATATCGGTGCATATAATCCTTCATATAGCATAGTTAATAAAACGACACTATATATCCAACAACTATCCTTCAAAACATGCATCAATATAAATTAACACATGTATATCAATACTAGGCAGTCATTATAGAGCCTAAAAATTCAATTCCAATAATGTAAACAGCTAAAACAAGTATAAGCGTTCACATCCTCCAAAATATCCATAAACTGATGCAGTTGAATAACAAAGTGAAAATTAATATCCAACACAAGCATGGTTAAATTCAAGTAATCCATGTTACTTATAATCCTATCTAAATATGATTAATTAAAATTAAATCATATATAAACAATCCTCCAAGTTCCAAATTGTAAGCTGATTAACATTCAAAGTTCAACATGTAGGATCTTCCCTTAACTGTACACTGTTCATACCTTAATCCATTTATGAATCATTGTTTACCTATATTCTTACAGGTCTAAAACAATCATATACATCATTTAAAACAATTTAAATGAAGTGCTAACATTCTGTATAGTCCAAACAGTGCACAAAAAACCAAATTGGGCGTTTAAAACCAAAAATCCCAACTGAGCAAACTAAGTTACAACTGAGCAGGCTAAGTTAGGAACTTAGTCGGCTGAGTTGCTAACTCAGTCGGCTAAGTTGATAACTCAGTCGGTTCAGTTTCCAACTGAGTCGGCTGGGGTCTTCTTCTTCGTCCGTTCAGCCTCTGTAAACCCTAAAACTTCATTGTTAAGGCCCCTAAGCTTTAACCTAAGTCTCATACGTCCATACTAAATTATTTTAAGTGTTTTAGTAGGCAAAGATTCAATTTAAACAACAGTTCATGCATAAAGATCACAGAAATAAAGAAATTTTGAATAAGCATATAAAATCATGAAACTCTCTATTTTAATCCAATTAAGCATGCATGACTATTTCGTTTTATCATTAGTTAAACCCCTGGAGTCTAGCTAGGCATGCACAGAACACAGATTAAAGGGAAAGAGTAGAACAGAGACTTACTTTAGATTTCAGTCCAGAAATCTTAAACCTCCGTTTCTGAGTTTTCCGTCAAAATCCTAGGATGCCGTTCAACACCTCCGGTGCTCTTGGTTCAACCCAGAAGCACTCCACTCCTTCCTCCTTGAACCTCTCGATCTGTAAACCTCTCAAGGTTCACTCTCTGTTTCTCTCAAATTCTCTCTCTGTTGCTCACTGTGTTTCCTCTCTGTCTCTTAGGTACGTGAGAAGAGTTTTGTGTATATTCCCAAAACCCTAAACCCAACGTGAGATTTATATTTATAGGCTTAACACTACAACCCTAATCCTTGTATAATTAGAGCCAGATGTCACGGGCCTAGAGATTCGGCGCAGCGGCACGGCCCGTGCGGCACCAAGGCGTTGCTTCAGCTCGCGCAAGCGCCCTGGTCAGCCACCACGACCTGCCCTCCCAAGGATACATGCTGACTGGTTTCGGCCTGCCATGGCCTCGTCAGGGGAACGGCTCCAGCTCCCGACCAGTTTGTGCAGGGATGGCCAACTCCCTTCTTCATAGTCAAGTCCAAGACCAGCGACAAGCACCCCGAACTGAACCGAGTCGACCTGCCTGAACTCTGAAGAGGTACCATGCTGTGCTCCTGCACGCCCCTTCCCTGGAACCATTCCCAGTCAAACTCTGCTCTTTGCCAACCAGCATGCGTGTCTTCCATCCTCCAAGCGTCTTAGGAATCACTTCGTGACATTCTCCCCCACCCAAATCCTGCGACGTCCTCGTCGCAGTGCGGCGCTTCACTACTGCGTCCACTCCCTTCCAAAGTCTGCCTCCATGCGGTATGCTCGCCTTCCCACCATCGCTTCCTTGTGCAGCTCCCTGCACTGCACTCGCCCAATGATAGGCCTCGGACCAAGGGGACGTCCACTCCTCAAGGACGTGACTCTTCTCCGTCATGCCGCCTCCGCGACATCCCGAGCAAGCAATGGCCTTCTGCCGACTTGATGCTCGCCCTTCACCATGGTTTGCATCACCCAAGGACTAAGCACGAACTTCGGTGCGCGCGGCCCTCCGGCCCTTCAATGCACAACTTCAACGGACGCCTCTTCCTAGGGAGATGGAGGCTCTCCCCCCCAACTGCATTGATTCTTCCTCATCGACACAACTTTAATGCACCGTCTTCATTCTCTGACCCCTCCCGGACCGACAAGGGGGCACCCCACCGTGCTTTACCCCAAAACCTGGCTCTGATACCATTTGTCACGGGCCTAGAGATTCGGCGCAGCGGCACGGCCCGTGCGGCACCAAGGCGTTGCTTCAGCTCGCGCAAGCGCCCTGGTCAGCCACCACGACCTGCCCTCCCAAGGATACATGCTGACTGGTTTCGGCCTGCCATGGCCTCGTCAGGGGAACGGCTCCAGCTCCCGACCAGTTTGTGCAGGGATGGCCAACTCCCTTCTTCATAGTCAAGTCCAAGACCAGCGACAAGCACCCCGAACTGAACCGAGTCGACCTGCCTGAACTCTGAAGAGGTACCATGCTGTGCTCCTGCACGCCCCTTCCCTGGAACCATTCCCAGTCAAACTCTGCTCTTTGCCAACCAGCATGCGTGTCTTCCATCCTCCAAGCGTCTTAGGAATCACTTCGTGACACAGAGCCCCTAATACCAATCTTAGTCGGCCTATGAACAACCTAAGTTATAACCTACATCGGCTACACATACGTGGCTTCTAAAAAATATAATAAAAGAAAAACCTAATCATATACATAAAGCATTTAACTTAACCCAATTAAAAATAATTCAACTAAAAACAATAATAGTAAAAGAAAACAATTAATTACAATAAAAACACAATTAAATACATAAATCAACAATTAATTTAAATAAAAAGACAAACAAGCAGATAATTAATAAAATCTAGTAATACAAGCAATTAAACAATTAATTTATTAAAAATGCACATAAATAAGTAAATTAAATTCCCGAACTGTCCTTTTAAAATTAGGAGTATTACAACAATTGAGAACGAACATTAAATTAAGTTTCTCTCTTTAATTTTCTTTTCTCTACTCTTATGCGCACACACACATATATATACACACTCTTATGCATACACACACACATATATATACACACACTTATACACTCTCGACATTATAATTATAATAAACATGAAGATTATTGATCAATTTATCAAATTATTCACACATGTAGATTGTTGAGGAAATTAGGATTCTTATTCAAAAGAAAGAGGATTCAAAATATAGTTTTAAAAAACTTTAAGTGGATTATGTATTTATTTAATTACTCACACATAAAAATTGATTGAGAAATTTAGGTTTTTATTGAAGAAAATGAGTAAACCCCTTAAAACATTTATCAAAGTGTTATGTTAGGGTTCAAATTTTATCATAAATAATTTTTTCTCTCAAACCTACCATGTATTCACTTGACAAAATCGATTCAAAATACACAAAGTTAAGTTGTCATATCATTCGTCAAAAAGTTGTCATATCATCAATCATGGGTTTAAATGACTTAATTTCGAGTTTGAAAACAGTTGTAATCTCATAAATTGGCAAGAATTGTAGAATTTGTCTCAAACTTTTCATAATATCTTAAGGGTCTTGTGAACTCCACCCGAATTGAAAGTTAGATTGTTTGAATTTTGAATTAATTTTCAGTAGTTTTTAAACATGACTATTCAATCGCTCCATGTACTCCAATGTTCGAACGTGTTTTTTTTTTTTTTCGTTTTACTCCAACGTTGTTTGTTCGGTTACAAAGTGCCTCCTTGAAGGGCTCCTCGAAACACTACCTTACCTTAAATAGCAAACATCAAAGACAAAAACTGCAACCTTCTATTAAATTGTTCAACATTTTATTTATCCAGATTACACAATTGGACAACCTTATTAGTATTGTTGGAGTCCAAGTTCTTGAATTTGACTTTTTTTATACATTGTCTCTATAAAATGAAATGCATTACATAAAAATTAACAATGAATAAATATAAACTCAGAACAGTAGGTGATGATCTCAACAACAACTTTGCATTTTCCAAAAACACAATAAATGAAATGTTGTTGCTTGTACTACTCTCCTCCAAACATAATAAATTGTATAATGTAACACAATATACAACAACTTAATCATAAAAATAAAATAAAAACATTAGATAGTGATGATCTCAACAAGAAGTTTGCAAGGACTCTTCTCCATTTCTCTCTCTATATAATTTCCTTCCCAACTGCTTTCTAGGAATACTCCGAATCAGTTATCCTATAAAAATAAAATAACATAATATATTAAAAAAGAAAAAAGAAAAACAAAGAAAAAACAAATCAGTTATCCTATAAAAATAAAATAAAAGCAAATATTAGGTGACCTGATCAATACTAATGATCTCAACTTTGCAAGGACTCCTCTATCTCTCTCTCTACATAATCTCCTTCCCAACGACTCTCCAGGAAAGTTCAAGACATATGAATGTTGGGGATGTGTGCTATTTTCCAATAATCCCCACCCTGTTTGTCTCGATCCAGTGTCATTTTCAATTTATCTGATAAATATTTGTTGAATGCCAGTGGGTGTGGGTACCTCTTCCACCAACTTACAGTTCCTAATAATCAGCTTTTCAAGATGAGGCAATGATCCCTTCTCCATTCTCACCCTCCTCAATCCTTCTAAGGGGTAAAGCTTTAATATCTTAAGCTTCTGAAACCCTGTCGCTTCGATTAACAATTCCTCCCTTCTAAGGGGTAAGCCTCAAAAAGTAAAATTTCTATCAGAAATAGAGAAGTTGCTAAACGCAACTTCTTGAAGGGATTGCAATGGATCATCCCTTAACTTGCTGTACGCAAGCCGCAATCTCACCAGGTTATGAAGAGAAGTTATTCAATGAGGCAAATTTTCTAAACGTCCCCACAAATAGAGCCGTTGAAGAGACCCAGGAGGAGAAGACAAGTGTTAAAAAATCAACAATCTGCTCCTCTTTTACAGAAAAAACGTTCAATGATTGAAGGTTACTCAGCTTTTCAAGAGAGGAGCACAAATCCTTCCCATCCTCCCTTCTCAACTCCCTAATCCCCAATCTCCTCAGCTGGGTCAGTCTCCCTAGCTCTCCCATTACAATTCTACCATTCTCACGGTTGGCTTCAATATAACACAGTTTTTGTAAGGAAGACAAACCTTCTATTCCCACTATTGCTTTAAAGTCACGGTACACCAAGAGATGACGAAGACGCTGGAGCTTTAAGGTCTGAACAGGCAACTCAGTTTCATAGATGTTTTTGAGATCCAAAGTTTCAAGGTTTTCAAGTTACAATTGCAAGTGGCAAGCCCTCACACTTTTCTAAGATACTTTGTGAGAGTTTCTCTTAATATTGAGGGCAGTGGTTGCCTCGGAATGTCTTCTTACAGAACAGAGTCAAAGACTCTTCCGAGGACAATGGTATAGATGTCATCAGTAGAAGCTACATCAACAATGCGGGTCATGAGCAGTATTCGGCTGCCACTATCGTTGTCAGGGAATGCATATTTAAAAGCATTCCATGCATCTATTTGCCATACATCATCTAAAACAAGCACGTACCTTCTCTGTCGAAGGAAATCTTTGATTTCCGCTTTCAAGTTATTGATGCCCATGGTTTCCAATCTTTGAGGGGCAGGTTGCTTGGCTTCATTGAAGAGTATTCGCATTACATCTTTGAGAAGCTCTCTGAGATCAAATGATTGAGAAACAGTGATCCAAGCATGACATTGGAAACGATTCTTCACCTCCATATCATCATAGACTTTCTTTACTAGGGTGGTTTTTCCCATACCCCCCATCCCCACCACCGAAACAACTTTTGAGTCTTGGACTGTCCTCCAGAAGCCACCCAATCAGCTGTTTCTTGGGCCCATCCATGCCAACAAGCTCAGCCTCTTCCACTAGAAGTGCATCACCTCGACGATCATACCTTGGGTTGTTGTCAACGGTGGAGCTTGATCCATGCTCAGAGATGCTGAGTCTTTGTCGGTAGCTTTGATGTATATTGTTGACTCTGGATTTTATTTTGCCTATCTCAGATGCAATTTGATGGCGAGCTATCAAGTTCTTAATCAAAGAGCAAATATTACAAAGAAAACCATAGAATCCATCCCCATGATAGTGTGCGATGTGGAGCATGAATTCATCAAGAACATCTTCCATGTCATGGGCAACATCACGCACTTGTTTAACCCATACTTGGAGCTCTGAGTTATTGAATTCATTTGCATCAGCTTCTTTGAGGAAATCCTTCATGTGCTCCAATTCATATCTGAGGGACTCAGCTTCTTCCCTTATTCCTCCCAAGAGGCTTGACTCTTGTTGAATGAAGTTGGTCAAGTGATTGAGTAGAAATTCTACTGCAATCTCAGCCATTCTCTCTGATCTTCTTGATTTCAATCAAGAGAACAAAAGATCGATCGAGAAGGAATTTCAGATAATTTCCCAATTGTGTGGGAAAACTATGTTTGGAATGAGAAGTGGAAAGGGCACCGACTCTGAAAGACAGCTATGACAAAAGACAGCTTTGTGAAATAAAAAGCAAGAGGATGAACAATAGTAGATCGATTACAAGAGTCCCCAATCTTAGTATGAATTTTAGTAAGTAAAATTTCAGAAAATTTGTCAATTGTGTGGAAAAACTTTGTTTGGAATAAAAAGCGGAAAGGGCACCGAGTGTGAAAGACAGTGGGGAGCCAAACAATGATAAAAGACAGCTTTGTGAAAGAAAAAGCGAGGATGTGTTTGAACTAAGAGAGATAGTATAGAGATGCAATATAAAGATCCTATATATAGGAAAAGGTCGCCGCCGCCGGGGTGACATGTATTTAATTAAATGATGAAGTGTAGTAGTGGTAATTACAAAATGAGCCCTTCTATAACTCAATTAACATAAATTTTGGACAATCTTGACAAGACATTGTTTGGACAATTGTTTTAGAGTAGTGGGACTAATTTCATGGTTTTAATTTCTTGATAAGCATTAAATTTGTCTAAATAGGTGGTTGTGAGAAAATATTCCTCTACCTCCTAAAATGATTGACTAGAGTTGGAGTTCTCCAAAGAGAATAATAATGATGTAAATATTGTTTGTTTTTTTTCAATAAAAAAATTATACAAGCTGATTGAAGTAGCACGTGAACCACAAAAAAACAAACAGTGGGCCACTATAGCTTAACATTGCTTAGGACTAAGAGATTGGAATTGCTGAGTACTCGGCGAGTGTCGGCAGAACACCCATAGAACAACTGTTTTTCATCTTGAGTTCCAACGTAAAATAATTATTTTTCTTTTATATATATATATTTTTATATTTTGCGTCAAAGTTTAATTTTAATATTTTTTTAATTAAATTTTAATATTTTTTTATTCGTAAATATTTTACGACAACCAAATACCATCCAAACAAAACATAACACCCTACTGAATTACCAAACATGCACAACACTATCAAGGCGACATGATGATAGGTTTGAAATCAAACCTCTAATCAAATGCTAAGGCCAATCACATAATTAATGGGCCAGTGACTTAGCGGTATCAGCCTCTTATCTCCAGAGACAAGTATGTGCCATTATCAATTAGGGAAAAAAAAAAAAAAAATTCAGTGTTTTGAATTATATCATCAACTTGTGCCAGTGGAAATAAATGGATGGGGACCAACTTGTGTAGGTGGAAATAAATGGATGGGACCAACTTGTGTAGGTGGAAATAAGCGGATTGGGACCACCTTGTGTAGGTGGATATATATATATATATATATATTATGTGATTTTTAAAAACTAATTTGAAATTTCTTTGAATTTTTAATTTCACCTCGTTGATAAATAAAAGTCCTAAATTTTTTAATAATAAAATTACTAAGAACATGAATTTTGTGAAAGAACAAAAAAAGAAAAAAAAAAAAAAAAAAATTGGTATTCATATACAATTAAGAATTTTGCTGAAAAGCTATTGCACTCTCAGCCATTCTCTCTTATCTTCTTAATTTCTCCCAATAGAGAGCCAATAGAATTCAACAGCCAAACTCTCCAATCTGAGTATGAAAGTTAATAAAAAGAGGAGAAAAATCAGCTTAAAGCAAGAGTATGAATCTGTCATATATTTATATGAAATTGAAGAGAAAAATCGAATACTACACAATTTAAGTCTAGTCCCATTAGTGCCTTTTATTTGCTCGTATTTATTTATTTATTTATTTATTTCAAGTTGAAGATGAGAATTAGTAAGAATTTTGCCAGTTAGTTAGTTAGATAGAAAGTTGAAGATGACAATTAACAGCCTCCCCTCTGACACTGACTTTTCTTTCCTCTTTTTTTTTTTAATTATTTTTTTATCATGAATTTTCTTTCCCCTTGACAACTAGTGTATTCAATTGTTTTTGTAACTACTCGAATAAATACCAAAATAATAATAAAAATTTATAAAAATTTCGGCATGACTTCCGCATAAAATGTTCCTCAACAACCTGTAGAAATACAAAAATAAATGCAATGGCCTCACTGGGCCTTAAATCTAACTTATCATGTCCCAAAGCACAATTCAAATATTATACTACATTCCCAAAATGGTTACATACATATAAAAGTCCCGTTCCTCCATCTCATCCAAACATGGAACCCACTTAAGTTACATCAAATTACAGTCCATAAAATGTAGCTAGAATTAAAAGTCCATAACTTACAACATTATACTAATTAAACTAAAGTGTCACAAGGTAGTTAATATTACATTTACAAAATATTAGAGTCTAATACAAAAGATAACAAAATAGAATGGGTCTTCAAGCTCTTCTAAACCTACGGTGGACCGTCGTCCGCCACCTCTTTTACATATCCTGAAAAAAATGTTAAAAATAAGGGGGTGAGCATAAGCTCAGTAGGAAGTGTCTAAGACACACTTCTTATATTCCCGTGAATCCATGCAATGAATAGATAAAAAGTGAACGGGATCATGTTATCGGGAAACGCACATTCTCAACCACAATAACAAGTATATAACAAATATCAACCAATCACAAATTTACCACGATGTCATGAAGTGCAATGTTATGCAAATGTCACTCCCCATTTCCGAAACAATTCCGTTTCAACAACCAAACCGTTAGTGTAGTCCGACCCAAGGCACCTCCATGGCGTCATGAAAGGAAGGTTGGTTAACTATATACGACCACAAGGCACCTCCAAGGCGTCGCATCCGGCCTAGTTAACTCAACTACATTCCCTTCTAGACTACACCAACATCACGGACCACTAGGCGCCTCCTAGGTGTCCGGTTGTCGCAACACTTTTAGAAAATATTTTCCCCAAAACAATTTTATTTGTTCTAACAATTATTTTTTCCCCTTTATCTTTCCCAATGGATGCATGAATACTTCATGCTTCAAATCATTAATTTAACTATATGTTTTCACACATTTCCATTTACATCATCATCACAATTTAATGAAAATTTATAAACATTCCTTTCCTTTATTTATTTATTTATTTATAACCATAGCATCCATTTTTCTTCAAGACAATAAATAAATAAATAATCATGGAACATATAACACATCAAATGGAACATACAACACATCAAATGGAATATACAACATATCAAACACTAAGCATGCTCATTTACCGTAATGAAAATAGACATGTATATGAACTCAAATAACACAAGGAGAACAATTATCATTGTAATTACAAAGAACTACAACAACAAGAAGCTAAGTAATTAAAATTTAGCATGCTTAGAATCAAATTTAAGGGGAAAAATTCACCAAAGGCCAAGAAATTGTAGATTAGAACACCCCTACCTCAAATTGATGAAAACCCCCAATTTGAGCCCAAGAACCCTAGAATTTTGAACTCCCTATAGTGCACCAAATGATGATTGGCTCCTATCAAATTAACGGCCTCGAAGAGCTCAACAACTTTGCTTCACAATGTTCTACCAAATTCCCAAAGGAAAAAGCAAGATCAAGGTTTGAAGTTGCAAAAAGAAAAAAAAAATGGAAACTGCCGAGAGCAGTCTGGTTACAGCAAGAGAGAGAGAGAAAGGTCGACTCGTGTAATGGCCTTATGGCCTTTTGTGTGTTTATAACATGGGTGGGGCCCACTTGCCTTATTTCTTTTAACATTAATTATATATATATATACATATATATCACAACATTACATTCTCCCCAACTTTAAAAGATTTCGTCCCCGAAATCAGGCCATACCTGAGGGAGAAAACAACTCTGGATACTTGGAGTGAATCTCCTGTTCGAGCTCCCAAGTAGCCTCCTCAACTCCATGATGCTTCCAAAGAACCTTTACCAACGATATCGTCTTTTTCCTCAATACCTTCTGTTATGTGTCAAGAATCTGAACTGGTCCCTCCTCGTAGGAAACATCTTCATCAATGTCCACATGAACCCAACTCAAAATGTGAGACGGATCCGGCTCATACTTTCGTAGCATCGATACATGGAAAACATTGTGGACCCTGTCCATCTGCGGTGGCAATGCTAATCAGTAGGCAACCTTTCCTACGCGGTCCAAGATCTCAAAAGGTCCAATGAATCGTGGCAACAACTTGCCACTCTTCCCGAACCTCATCAACCCCTTCCTTGGCGAAACCCGAAGAAAAACATGATCTCCCACCTCAAAGGATAGCGGTCGTCTTCGCCTATCTGCATAACTCTTCTGTCGGCTTTGAGCTGTAAGCAATCTCTGTCTGATTAGCTTAATCTTCTCGGTAGTCTCGAGTACAATGTCGGGTCCTAAGGTGGCTGTCTCACCCACCTCAGTCGAACAGACAGGAGACCTACAAGGTCTACCATACAACGCCTTAAATGGAACCATCTGAATACTCGCCTGATAACTGTTGTTGTAGGCAAACTCAATAAGTGGAAGGTGATCCTCCCAACTACCACCCAAGTCAAGTACACAGGCTCGAAGCATATCCTCCAAGATCTGGATGGTACGCTCCGACTGGCCGTCCGTCTGTGGATGAAATGCAGTACTAAGGTGCAATGCTGAGCCAAACGCTGCTTGAAGTCCTTCCCAGAACTTCGAGGTGAACTTAGCATCCCTATCCGACACAATAGCCACTGGAACTCCATGCAATCTCACAATCTCTTTCACATAAAGTACACCGGGTGTCTCTGCGTCATCTGTTGCCTTAATAGGCAAGAAGTGAACCGTCTTGGTCAATCTATCAATAATGACCCATACGGCTTCATTTCCCCTCCGTGACCTAGGAAGACCTGTCACAAAATCCATTGCAATCTCCTCCCATTTCCACTGCGCTACCGGCAACGGCTGCAATAAACCAGCTGGTCTCTGGTGCTCGGCCTTCACCTACTGACAGGTAAGGCACTTAGCTACAAACTGTGCAACATCATTCTTCATTCCATTCCACCAATACTGACGTCTCAAACTGTGATACATTTTGGTACCACCCGGATGAATTGCAAAGCGGGAAGTGTGAAACTCCCGTAAGACGTCCTCACGACAAACAGTAGGAACAACCAACAAACCCTTAAACCGTAGACCTCCATCTGCATGTAAGGTCCAATCCTTCACGATCTCGCCATTGGAGATCAAAGTGTAAATGGCATCAAAATCTGAATCCTGTCTCTGTGACTCAATCACCCGTCTAACAAGAGTGGGTTGAGCCACGAGACTAAACAAGAATGCTGACTCACTGCCATCATCATCATCATCAAAACTATGCAATCCCATTTCAGCCAAATTTTCCAGCATCTTCCATTTCCGAATGGCTAAACTAG